GCCCTATTCTCCACCCCTTCTGTCACATGGTCAGTTTGTGTGTCAGTTTTTTTTGAAGTGTCCTTCTGTTTGAATGCCTTCCCCTTGTTACAACTTACAACTCTATCCCAAATATTCTCCCATTCTATTTAACGATTTAGATGTTTGATATCTTCTGAAATAAAATTTTGTGTTATATTCTATTTGAACATATGTGTTTATACGAACAAGATATTTTAGACAAGACCTATAGAAAACTCGATGAAACATGGTACATACAGTAGTTTTTACAGTTTCGTAAGGCCTCTCCATGTTCCATATTTGAATTTTATAATTTGTGAAAATATATTCAAGAGCGATTTTATTTCAATGTTTTCTTCACAAGGAACATAAAAATGCAAATGTGTCATAAATCAAACTGACGGCTCAAAAGATAAAATAAATTTAAATTTTAGAATCATATGAAAAAAAAACCTGAGTAAGCGTAGTACTACTCGTCTCTACTTTTGTGAGTGAGAGGACAGATATTGCAGGTGATAACTACATGGAAAAGTTGTTAGGAGAAATAGTGAATGATTGATATGACATAAATTAATTAGAACAAGTGGTCATACATTCAGGTTAACTAAGCAACACAGTGACCAGATGCATGCAGGGATCCGAATCTCAAAGAAAACCAGTGGCTGATACATGCACGGTATATATCATGCATGGTAGAATGTCTTTTCTCCCAACTACTACATGCATTTTGGGAAGAGATCAGCAAAGAAAAATCAAACAACGGTTTTGCAAAGAGATTCTGATCTCCACAGAAAAGAAAAACACTGAAGATTAAAAAAAAATCTACTGCATCAGGAGCATTCCCAACAGAGCACACGAGGCTATGAAATTTGTTGCCATAGAATTTCAATTTCCCTGAACCAGGAAACCGCACTCCCACTAAAAAAATGAATGACCACCAAATTGACCCAACCCTTGTTTGGCTGCTTAAAAATTCTTGAAGAAATAAAAAGAGTAAAACTAAAGATTTTGGACGACGATAACTGTCACATGTGTGGCATCTGGGGGGAGAGGGGGGGGGGTTGTGCTGCACGCCCTGTGTGGCACGGAGACAACCCCGCCCGCACGATGGCGTCCGGGCGCACGCAGCCACAGCCCGCACGTCCGGTATGTGGCACAATCTCCCACACGTCCGGGCGATCGACCGCGCTGCCCACACGACCTAACGTGTGCGTCGTCCCGGCCTGCGGACGAACCCCAGTGCGACCTGCCGCCGTCGTCTCCTACCTCTCGATCCCCTACCTCCATCGTCTTCCTTCTCTATTTGCCATGGCAACTAGACTAGATCTCTAGCGCCTCCCCACCCCCCCACACCCACCGCCACCCCCAACCC